AAATAAAATTCAATGATAAAATAAAACCATACTCATTGTTACGTGAGTTATTTCGTACTTATACGATGTGGTTCATTTTTATTTTTACTTTTATAAAAACGTACAAAAGTCGTGTAGTCAATACCCTTTTGAATTATACTTCATAGAAGATTTCCCACGAAATGGTCTTAATTCAGTCAAGCATCGATGCATTCCGAAGCCATACAGAAAACCAGGCAATAGGATAAGCCTTACAACCTTACAATATACTTCTACCGAGTATTCTAGGGTTTGTTCATCGCAGGTAAGTTAATGTTGAGAACGAAACGTACGCGTGAAATTTGCCGGTGCAAGGAAGGTACAGTCAACAATAATAGGATGTGCTATTGATGCACAACACAATAATATTTAATTGTCCGCGGAATGTCCATTGACCAGATGTCGTATTGAACAGAAATCACTTGCACTAAACGCGCAATGCTAAGTGCATAATCATTACACATCAGACATGTGCATGATAAGCAAGTGACATGTTTGCTTCTTTGCTTGTAATGATTAACAAAAAAACGCCAGCGGATCAGGTCAAGTTATGCCCTGGCGTGGCTGTACCATATCATTACTCTTCATTGCCTAGGTAGTACAAGCAGAAGAAAGAAGAAAGACGAAGTTGGTAGTGGTACCGTACCTGCGAGAAGTTACACGAGACCAAGAAGCAAGAATACGGGAGCGCGTGGAATTTATCATGGCATTCCGCTGCTAGGCGCTTGCGCAAGACGCTTACAATGATAAACAATAACGTAAAGTGTATACTATCGCAAAAACTATAGCGCACGTTATTTAGTTTTAAATCTTTGTAAAATTTTAACGATTTTAACTAAAATTTTAATAAAAATGTTTTGAAATCAAATAAAAATTAATTTATTGTATTAACTCACCCCTATTCGCTTCCTTTTGTGATTCTAGAATATATACCATTTGTTTTGAAGCCCTAATCATTGACGATTAGCAACTTTGTGTTTAACTCCAGTTGCAACGACAAAATAATCCCTTTGTACTGGTTTAAATCATGCCTCACTTTCGTTAAACGCACTTTTTAAGACACTGTTTGTTGTTGTTGTTGGTTTTTAAGTCTTCAGGCGCGAAAACAGTGCTGAATTGAATTGAGCTTCCGTTGAAAAAAGCGACTAGAGCAGAACATGAGAAAGGTATGCGAGCACCTTCGCCATTGCCGTCTTGGCCGTAACTACTCGCATCTGAAAGTTGTTCCCACTTGGGTCTTTCGGCGCGCGCCTCCGAGCTCGGATGGCGTAAGCTGTGCTTGTGCTTTGACGTAGCGGACACGCCGCTTGGCTCATGGGCACTGCCTAGCGCTGGCGCTGGCTGTTCAGCGAGCTAGTTGCGTCGCCGCCCGCCAAAGGGGAATCGATCGAGAGAAGATGGGCGGCCGCCGCCGCTGCGCCCACACACACACACTTAGACACAGAAAAACATGAAGCGTGCCAATTTATCAGCACGCGTGCGACTGAGACCACGATAATAACACACGCGATCAAGGGATGGTCGAGCTGGTTTTCCTGCTTCGTGGGTTGTACGAATACATCCACACAGTTACTGTCTCAACCGTTTCAACCACTTGCACTGCACCCCACACACGCTATGCGAACAAATCGAAAGGGTTGTCTGATCCAAGACTAACATCGCTTACAAACGCAACCCTGCATATTAAACCATCAACCACAAATCGACGGCGTGCTTAATTTCCATTCACCTTTGGATTTCGCAAATCAAAAGCGAAAAAAACTTCAATGGGTTAAAGTTATCAGCGTCTGTATTCGTATACCGTTAATTTGTACACTCGGGCACTAGATTCCTGAGCCGACGTACAAAATTCACCAAAGGACGCTTATAGGTCATTGTATTCCATCCGGCAAGGGCCGCGCCGCGCAGACCGCGCACGGAACAGGTGAAGAGACGCCGGGAGACGGCGAGGCTGTTCACCTTTTGAATTCAGCGCGAACCAGCCATGCTGAGGATGCTACACGACAGCCCCACCAGATTCTTTCGGATTTTAAATTGCAATACGTATCACTGCATGCAGATGCAAATTACACCTTAAAATGATTTATTAGATGCAAAGGATGAAAAATTGATATTTAAACACCCAAACTATACATTCAAATGCGTAAAATTCAATTTTTAACGGCATTATCAACATAAACCATATAAAAGGCAAATATATATTATTATTTTAAATTTAAATTAAAGATATTAATCCTAACATCAAGCGCATAATGAAAATTTCGTTCTGCGCGTGATATTTAATAGACAAATGCATTTTGAGAATAGTTGAACTCTATACAACCATATACACCTACCAATTTAATCATAACAATGGCAAAAACTTTTCTTTAATTAAAATTATTAACCACATTAAAATAATCCTTTTACGATCATATGCTACCACCTAAAGCTCTAAATTTTCCTAAATTCAGATAACTTATCACACAAATGAAAAAGAAATAAAATTCTTCACGCTTTTCTGATAAAAATTTATTACCGTATTTACTCACTAGCGCAAAATCATAAATTTTATCCATTTACAGTATGCACGTTACTACTTGACTATATGCAACCATACACACACTGTAAATATTCGTTAGTGGTAACTGCAGGTTAACGAACCCGCAAATGAAATATTAATGCAGCAGGGAACATACTCAAAGTAATATAAACGCAAAAAAGTAATTACTTAAACTCTCATGTATGCTTTGGTTTATAGAAATTATCCTCATAAAAACCTCGCCGGATTTCTACTGGCATCAGACTGTAATTTGACATATACATCAAATTTATATTTTCGTGCACATGCACAGACGATGAAGCAAGGCACGTTTGCCTTTCTATTTGTCGAATAAGTGCCCAAGACACTCTTTCGCAATTGTTCAACTTGAGGAGCGTACCGTCGTCGTAAACATAATTGAATCGTGCCACAACATTTTATACTCGGTGCGCGTTGCGCCAACTCTCACTCTCTGAACTGTAAGCGCTTCAAGATTTTATTTACTTCTTACAACTTAGTCAAGAGAAATCAGCGGCGGCGCGAAGTCATCAACGCTTCTAGCTGCCTAGTGCAATAATCTCACATTGGATATCTACTAGTTTTAGAAACAATAATACATCATACTTGAGAAGTGTAATAATTCACCAAAGCATTCATCATGTTGACTAACATGGAATCAAACTATCAGATTCTCCTGAATAAAGGGTATGTACGTTTTGCCTTTGGCGTGTCGCACTGTGAATTAATTAATGAATAAGTGCGCCGTATGTTGCCGACGGATTGCTCGGGTGCAAATCAAGCAGGGGTCAAGTGTCAAGTATGTGTGTGTATGCAATATTCAGTTTATTCAGCGTACGTCATTGTCAGTTCAAAGCAAAAATAAAAAACGATCGGGCTATGATTGAATGTTCTAATCTGGAACGTTTATCGAATAATTTAATTGAGTCAATGCCTAATGTCTAGATAAAGGAGCAGTTGTAGTGTAACCTTTAAAATGAGCATAAGTACATCATAGATTTAATTTTTTAACGTAATTTGCGATTGTATAGGTTCTATTGTTGATAAAATATGATAAGATTGTGTTTTATGGAAGAAAGCGCATTAAGTAATTGATATAAAATTAGAAAATGAAATAATTACTGGCATGTAATTTCTAAAACATTAAAAATGAAAGTTTTGCGCCTTTGGTTGACTAGAATACTCTGTATAAAAAGTAGTAATGCTGTACTATTGGTGTACACTGTATGTATGTTGAAATTATTACTGAAAAACAAAATGGCGGATTAAACTAGTTCAATACTTTTTGCATTAAAATTCCTTACTAAATCTGTAGAGTTGCTTGATATTTGTTCTGAATTATTGACTCTCAACTAAACAATTTTAGCGTTATCGGCATTGTTATCGTTATCAGCTAATCCTGTGTCAAGTTAAACAATATACATTGCGTAATTTTATATTATAGATATCGATTTTTAAGATTTGCTCAATTCGATTGTGCATTGTGATTATATCTGAATTAAAACTTGAAATAGTATTGATATAACAGTAAATTTATGTATTTTGCAATTACGAGCCAACCAAATACGAGTAAACTAAAATGCTGTTTGGTTCATTTGTAATTTGTTTCGTATTTTTTAGTTTTATCTTGTTTTCTGCCAACGAAATTATGTTGTGCTACTAATTCGAGTCTAATGTTTCAAGGCTGTTTTCTCGCCGCAATCGGTTGCTGATGATTTACTTCTGTGGGCCATTATTTATGTAAATATACAGTGTCTGTCAACAAAACAAAATTTCAACAACAATTTTAGGAATTTTCTTTGATTTAAGCTAATATAACCTAACTTAGCCAAATACCAAAGATTTAAAGTTTTAAATCCAAAAATATTTGGCAAAAACTAAAGTTGGCTGTTAAATTAACGTTCAAAGTAAAAAAAAAAAAATGCGGAAATAAGTGTACCATAACTATTATTTAATATCAGTGGCAAAACAGTACATTTTACTAGTATTTCATAAAAACTAAATATATCTACAGGTTCCACAAATAAATACCTATAAATCAATATATTTTTATTTAACAACACCGATTCAATTGAGAAATGAATTATTGCGCCATTTTTTATGAGAATCTAAATCGTTTCGCAATAGTTTAACCTTTTTACATTTTATATATCTTGAATACTTGGTATTGCGCATGCACGCAACGTAATACGGTTCCAAATTTTCCTAAAACTGCATAAAAAGTTGGATTTGGCTGAGAATTTTGCCAAATCGCAAACTTTAATTCGAAGCGGTTTAATGCGCAACCGCCATATCAAGGTCCACGCGCCATTGCTGCCACAGCTACACCAATACTATCATGATGCACATACACAAACCCGCTGCGATGTCATGACAACACTCCTCGTCGACTCGGCGCTATACGACCGAACGGACCGAACGAAAATACAAAGTCCCTCCAATCAAATATCAAAGTTTACATGCGGCACAGCACGTTCGTATATTATCCGGGATGATTCGGTGTGCGTCAGTTCATTCGCGGAACGAACGTCGTCGCGTTCGCTGTTAATTATCATTCACACAGTGCATTTGTGCGCGCTGCATAAATGCAATTCGTGCGACGAGGATAAAGTGCACTGTGCCATTGTTTACTCAATTCATACGCACAACGAGCGGATATTTCGACGATAGAACACGGCAACGCGTGCGCGCTTATCGTGCCCACATTCACAGTGCTACAAGCGCGTAGTAAACAAAGAAAATGAAAGAGAAGAGTCCGGGCGAGATGGCGACTGACAATTTGTTGTTGAAAAGCAGGAATCCGGCGGAAGTCAAGGTGCAGATCGTGCCATCACAGCCGAAAACCCTTACACATCTTCCAAAACGGCCGAAAGTGGATTTAGCCTTCGAGAATTTGACCTACACCGTCCAGCAAGGAAAGAGTAAGTACAATCTGGCAACCATGTAGATTTGTTGCATGCTGTGTTCGTAAACACGCGTGGTGGATACAAAGCAGCAACACTACGCACGAGGCTTCATCGTGCATCTAAAATATTTACTCATCTATAAATATGTACTCTATTTACTCTTGTTTCAATTAGTATTTAGTCATTCTTACATATAGTATATATAGTAGTAAAATATCAAACTGTTTAAACAAAGGAATGGTTTTGTTTAATCATGCTTTGTTTTAATATTGAAGTTTTACTTTTTGATTCAATATCGCGTCACAAAGTGATCACAATGGAATCATTACATAAATTTCACATGTTTTGTGTTTTGTTAACCTTTTTAATGTTGCTCACCAATACATAACTAAACACTGTCATAACCTCAAATTTTGAAACTGAAAAACAGGCCTCTGGATCATATATACAAGAAATCATATAGAAATGTGCATGTATCAATTAACATCTCGACGAAGTACAATTAGACAGCAATGCATAACTACATACATTGATATGCATTTAACAAATGAGTCACAAGTAAAATACACATTGCAGTTTGTGCAATACGCCCATAATCCATCACGTATTGAATATTTACTTGTATTGGGAATTTAATTTGAAGATGTCTAGTCATAGACAACTAAATTAACATTCCATTCATGTAGTTAAATTTTCAATTACACAACAGTGCGTGCATGAAATTTAATTCACGTACTTGACGCTGATTAGTTTAATGTTGCACACGCTTATGAATTCAATAAATGGGTTCAAAGTGCTTCGTTATCAACATTTTCTGATGAACAATTATTACTCATCTGTTCCATTGTGTTTAATCTGAGTTGGACTTATTTTTCTGTGGCGTATGCCACAAACACTTTCAAATGTGCATATATTAAATAGCAATTTGTCGTTAAGTAGGCAAAAACACATTGGAGAGACCCAGACAGGCGCTCGTGCATTTAATAAACACTTAATTACATATTACCTATTACGGTTTAGAGAAGCCACTTTTACAATTATTGCAATATGCGTACTGTTGACTGGTTGCATGATGATCAAGTGGTTTCATGACTTCTATCATTTCTTGTTTCATTTGCAATTAATTGCGTTTTCGGCTCGTTTGCCTTGAGCTCATAGACCAAACAGACTCTCAACATCCAACTGAGTATTTTCCAATATCTATTTTTTACTGTTTACTCGAAATGAATTATTTTCTTGTCAATTTTATTATAGTATTTGTCAAACCTTATCAGAAATTTATGTTCTAGCACTAGAATTTGATTTGATGTGAGCTTGAAGGTCAGAAATTGTCTCCTCTAAAATGAATTCATACAAATAACAAATGCTCGTCAAGGTAATTTAAAATTGTGAAATCCACAACGATTTTAATTACATCGTACATTGACGCTCGCATAATAAATATGGACCGTGTCTTTCCGAAAACACTGCTTAAGTGTCCCCAAATTCTTCCATACACATCGATTGGCGGAACCAGTTTTACACGTTACTGCGTCTCATGGTGGCAGCGTTTTTTTCCCCAAAGAAATAAGACATAAAAACAACTTGTTTTGACCGTGATTTCAGATATACACAGGAAATAAAAGACTATATAATCAACTTTAAAGTCAGTCGTCTTCCGGAATATTTAAAGTCTATATGTTAATATTTTATAATTTTAACTAATTAATCTTTCTTTGGTTATTTTCCAGCAAGCAAAGTGATATTGAAGTCCGTCAGCGGAAGGCTTCGATCTGGCGAACTTATTGCTATTATGGGCCCCTCTGGGGCCGGGAAATCAACGCTCCTCAACATTCTCACCGGTTACAAGTGAGTTGAAACCGCTCACGCACGTCTGTCCACTGTTTGCGCACGTGCATGTGCAATTAAAATTATTTGTACGTAAAAATTGCTATTGAATCTACATGAATTAATGAGCACGCCATTATTTGCAACGCAGCGAATTTTGATTTCATCAAGTGATGATTAGTCAGTGGCGCAGCTACATATTTGTCATCCTTGGCATTCCCTCATTTTCTTCGACTTTTCTCTTCAGGAAAGCCACTCCTAAGAGTTGTGAAGGTCTTGGACTATTTAAGGAGTGATAATCTAGCAGCGGTTAATTCAGAAATCCAAAAACCTGGATGAAATAGAGTTTGAACCTACAAATATGTAATAATAATTGCTACGCCACTGTGTTTATTAGATGAGACGATGAGAGTGAACATGCATCAACGAAATGTTCACGTAATTCATGTCGATAAAGGATTATGTACACACGCCAACTTATTGATTAGAAATTTGTTTGCATAACTCTACTTTCCTGGTTATTGATGAAACAACGAATATGATTTCATCAATATATGAATTGAATATCAAATTTATGTTTCCATCGTATTTCGTTTGTTTTAAATGCATGTAACTACAGATAATTACATACTGTTGAGAGGATTAAGATTTAATTGCTTTTCCTTAATGTGCAATTTACGGAAAATGAGGCAGCGCAGGAGCCCTGAATATAAATGTTAAAATTTCATTAAAAGTATACGTTGCGTACGCCGAAAATATGTATAGGCTCGACGTTATTGCATGTCGGGGCGATTTGTAGCCTCTGTTTTAAAATCGCGTCATTTATATGCAGACAACGAATGCGACACGTACTAACGATGTTCGGAAATTTAAAGGACGCTACCGACATTGTCTTTTATATGGCTTTCTGCTTATACTGCCAAAGCTTTAATAGGCGCGCCAATAAGAATGTTAAATGTGCATTCATTCGCAGTTGGAGCAAATCTGCATTTTAATTCGGGGAATATGAATTTATCTCTGAAGTATTTGTTCCTAAACTTTAATAATATATCATAGAATGTGATAATGCCAATAAATCACAGAAGCACGTCTAATTGTACCGACGTAAACTGAAAAGTTAGTCTAATGATTCCTTACGCAACTGTTTTATGGCTTTACTGTAAAATCAGTTGACATATGAGACATTATAGTAGAGTAACATAATGGGATTATGATTACTCATAATGAGATTTGCCGTAAGCCGAATTACCGACATGAAACAAGTACTTATATGGATTTTTCTTTTGCAGAACCGAGGGATTGCAAGGCACGATTCTCATGAATGGCCATGAAAGGGATTTGAATCGCTTTAAGAAGTTGTCCGCGTATATTATGCAAGACAATCAACTGCATGCAAATTTAACAGTGGACGAGGCAATGAACGTAGCTGCAAAGTTAAAAATCGGCGACAAGGATGCAAAAGAACGAGAAGAGATTGTATGATTTATATTTAATTTTAAAGTTGTTTATAAAGTTGCTAACGTGTTGATTTGTATTCCAGATCAATGAAATTTTAGACACTTTGAGTCTCTTGGATCACAGACGCACGATGACTAGTGGTTTGTCCGGTGGTCAAAAGAAACGTTTGTCAATTGCATTGGAATTGGTGAGCAATCCGCCAATTATGTTCTTCGACGAGCCCACATCCGGCTTGGACAGCTCCAGTTGCTACCAATGCATCTCGCTGCTGAAGACCCTCGCGCAAGGCGGCCGAACAATTATTTGCACCATCCATCAACCTTCGGCGCGTTTGTTCGAAATGTTCGACCAGCTGTACACGCTCGCCGATGGCGAATGCGTTTATCAGGGATGGACGAAGCAACTGGTGCCGTTCCTTGGCAGTTTAAACCTACCTTGCCCATCGTACCACAATCCCGCTTCGTTTATTATTGAAGTTGCTTGCGGAGAGTACGGCGACAATACGAAAAAACTTGTCGCTGCGATTGAGAATGGCAAGCAGGATATTCGCGAGGGGAAATTTCCGCTGCAAAAAGATGAAAAACTGAACAATGCGTCCTACACTGCCGCGGAGACAAAAGATAAGAACGATACGTCTAACATTCAAGAAAAGTTTAATAACGTCAACGATGTCAACGGATGTGATAAGAACAATTTATTACCTAAGAATGCAATTAATGATATCTCCAAAGAAAGTAAGTCGTGTCTTTTATACACGGAAATAATACAATGATATTTATGACTGTATTTTAGATGGCCAAGTTGAAGATATGGAAAAGCAAGTGAATGCCAGCTCTTCTCTCTTGGACGATGATGATGGAAACGCCTTGATTCAACCTCGTTATGGTAACTCGGAACTCAATCAATTCTTCATCATTCTCAAGCGTACTTTGCTTTTCAGTCGCAGAGATTGGGTAAAAAATTGTGTTTTTTACTAGTTTCAATGTAAATAACGGTTGGTTTGTTTTGTTTTTAGACTTTGATGTACTTGCGTTTGTTTGCGCACATTTTGGTCGGTTTGCTAATTGGAGCACTTTACTATGATATTGGTAATGACGGTGCAAAAGTACTCAGCAATCTGGGTTTCCTTTTCTTCAATATGTTGTTCCTCATGTACACATCAATGACAATCACTATCCTATCTTTTCCTCTGGAAATGCCCGTACTGCTCAAAGAAAACTTTAATCGATGGTACTCACTGAAGTCGTATTACCTTGCGATAACAGTGAGTGACATGCCATTCCAAGCTATCTTCTGCGTCATTTACTTAACAATTGTATACTTGATGACATCACAACCGCTGGAGTACGCCCGATTTGGTATGTTCTTGGCAGCGTGTCTGTTGGTATCATTTGTTGCTCAAAGCGTCGGTCTTGTGGTTGGAGCTGCGATGAATGTGCAGGTAATGTCAAAGTTATTACAAGATTTTTATAGAATTCAATTAACATTTAATTTAATCGTTTTAGAACGGTGTGTTTCTGGCTCCGGTCATGTCGGTGCCATTCTTGCTCTTCTCCGGCTTCTTCGTGTCCTTCGATGCAATTCCTATATACTTACGATGGATCACATACCTCTCTTATATTCGGTATGGCTTCGAGGGTACTGCTCTAGCAACTTATTCGTTTGATCGTCCAAAATTGAAATGCTCAGCGCCTTACTGCCATTTCAAGTCGCCCATGACAACATTGGAGGAATTAGACATGGTGGAATCCAGTTACAGTCTGGACATTATCGCATTGGTCGTGATTTTCTTCGTTCTCAGAGTCGCCGCATACTTGTTCTTGCGGTGGAAGTTGCGTAGCAACCATTAAGAACACAACTGCAAATCTAATTAACATGCCTTATATACATGACTGAAATAATGCGTTCTGAACGCGTCATATAAAATTCGTGTCGCATTTATATTTGATACAATTCAATTTTACAACATTGACATTTTACATTGAAGCAAATTGCAACTCCAAAAAAGATAGTGTTATATTAATTCGATTTGTACTATGTTAGCTAGTGGGTGTTATTTATATTTATGTTAATACTAATGAGTTTAATTAGACAAATAAATTTATTGTTAGATTTTTTTTGCAATCTGTTGCATATAACTTTTATCTTGTGGAGTTTGGTTACGTATTTTGTAATTACTTTCTTATCATTGTATTAGATTTAAATATTACATGTACGCACGACAGGTTAGTGTAGGCTATCCCTCAAAGTTGATCCATTGTGATAGCAATTATAAAAGTAAATGTTCAGAGATTTGTAATTTGCATAGTGTGATGAGCAAGCTGTACACGTGGGGCTGTGATGAATTGATTTGTCAAACGCGATGTAACAAGTACTACAGATTTAAATATAACAGTTTTGTACAGTTTTATAGAGTTGCCGATATTTTTTGTGTAAAATTTTACAGTTTACCATTTGTTACAAACAAATATGAAGAATTTGCTTAGAATAAATCTAAAACCCAAAGGAGTGCTGGTTTTATCTACTAAAAACTATCATAGGTGTAATAAATGACTAAATAAGTTTAAGTTTGACTTAACTAATTGAATAACTTTATTCTGAGCAGCATACGGCACGTCCGCTTCGGTGTAGCAACTCCACATCTTACCACCCATTAATTTCATGCATAGTTAGCAAGTTATTTGAACAGAGTTTCCATTCTGCAAGTAAACTTTCTTATAATTACCATTGCAAATTTCATATTCATGCAATTGACGGAAGAGAGTTTGACAAAAGCCCGTTGGCAAAATACAGTTGCCGTAAAACAGTTTGATGTTTTAGAAATCGAATTCTAAAACCAAAATTCGTTTAATATCCAGCAAAATACGAATTTTATCATGACCTAGATGCAAAATCGTTCCGAGCTAAAGTGTACGCGATTAAATATTAACAATTCAATTAATAATAAGGTGCTTGTTAACTAGTTGCACGAGTATGTCGAAAGCTAGCTCCAATTTTACGCAACATATAATACGCTCTGGCCGCAGGGTAAAATTAACGTCTTTCGAATATTTAGTGCACAAGAATGAATTTGAGTATACTGCATGTTGTAAAATAATAACATGAATTTATACTCTAACTTTGTGTGGATGGCAGTTACACAGTCTTAATTTGTACAACCGGTACATTTATACGAAAAGAAATATAACTGGTTTAGCGCATAAGCGCCGTAAGTTTTGTTTATACATTTAACGACAACGTGAAAGGGTTTCACTTTCGATTTCGTTCGTTTTCTTTTTCAAAAAGTGGAATTCTCTCTCGAGTCAGTATCGCGAGTGCCGCATTTGATGTAGGTTCTCTGCGTGTTCGTATCAGAAATGTTTAAAGTTTGTCTTTTGGTTTTGGCGAGTGCCTGTTTGGTGTACGCAATTCGTATTGTAAGTTTTGTTAATATTATTAACTCATTTATATATGCAATATTGTTTATTGCAGGAAGTGCGCCAAGCAGATTACTATGATCCTTATTATGACGGCCATCATGGACAGTATCAAGCTGTGCCTGTCAAGGTAGTGAAGAAGCCAAAGGAGCATGAAAAAGGGCAGGACTTGTCTAAAATTCCTGGTGTTCCTGGTGTAGACTATCCTGTTTATCATTCGGTACCAGAAACTGGTTTCTCTTGCCACAATGTCCCAGCGCATCCGGGCATGTATGCCAACGTAGAAACTGGATGCCAAGTACGATAATTACCCAAGATGCCAATCCATTTGATATTGATGTAACTATATTTATAGGCATACCATGTGTGCCATGATGGTCGTGAGGGACACCAGGGTGCGTCGTTTCTTTGCACAAATGGTACCCTTTTCAACCAGAAAGAATTCGCTTGCGATTGGTGGTACAATGTTGATTGCCACAGTGCTACAAATTATTACAGGTAAAATTATATTGTAAAATAGATAAAATAGTTTATTAAGTCGGATAATTATAATGTTGAATATTCTTTAGATTGAATTTGGATCCTGAGAAGAATCCCTACTTCCCCAAGAAAAAAGTGGAGGAAGAGAAAAAACTTGAATACGCACCAGAACCAGCGTATCACGGTCACTTTTAAGCAGTTTGGTGTTGTAATAATTTAAAATTTGAATTACTTTTCTGTATTATAATTCATTATGTAACTTATTGGCAAAACACGTTATTAAATAAACTTTCAAATCTTTTCACATTAATAAAATACACAAAAATGTTTTTAAATTTAATTCCGTTTAATTTATCTTACATGTTGCTAATAGAAACTATAAACAAATCAATATTTATTATTATTTTGCTATTTACATTTGATAACATTTGCCAGTCGGCTACTTTTAAACAAAATCTGTTTTAAATTATCCGCGTGTAGCGCCCTCATTTCAGTTTCGGTCGCGCATGATCATAGTCGCCATTTTGTGTTTGTGAAACATTTGCAGCTGTCATTTGTCATATTCCTTTTCGATTGGAGGTGCAAGAAGCACGTTTCAAAGTAAGTGCAATCCCCATATTTTTCATATTTTCGAGTATCAAATAGATCAAATTAGTAAATTCAAGTTACGTATTGGTATGCATGTTACTAATAGGTAGTGTTTTGAATGATTTCTTTGCTTATTTGAGCTTTTATTGAGTATTACACGTACATACAAATAGCGAGGTTAGGTTACCGATTCATACTAAAACACATTTCAGGATGCAAATTTTCGTGAAGACCCTCACGGGTAAAACCATCACGCTTGAGGTTGAGCCCTCTGACACAATCGAAAATGTCAAGGCTAAGATCCAAGACAAAGAGGGAATCCCTCCAGATCAGCAGCGTTTGATCTTCGCTGGCAAACAATTGGAAGATGGACGCACGCTCTCCGACTACAACATCCAGAAGGAGTCCACTCTCCACTTGGTGCTGCGTCTGCGAGGTGGTATCATCGAACCATCTCTGCGCATCTTGGCCCAGAAATACAACTGCGACAAGATGATCTGCCGCAAATGCTACGCTAGGCTGCATCCACGTGCGACCAACTGCCGTAAGACCAAGTGCGGACACACCAACAACTTGCGCCCCAAGAAGAAGTTGAAGTAGATACAAAACTTTTTTCCAGCAAGATGCAGCACTTGCTGCTGCATCAGATTATTATTTTGCACTCAAGATTGGAATATTACAAGCTGAATAAAAGCGGTTAACATCTGAAATGGTAAAAATGGCTGAACATAAATAAATTGACCATCCTTTTAATTAATTTGTATATTTTGCAAACTTTTCATATTTCGCCATATCATCTGCGGAGGGTTCAAAACCGCCGTTTTTACCAGTTTCTATATATCTTTCGTACATTCGGATCGATTTTTGCGACACCACCGGTGGTTTGACTTCAAAAGAGGAATCAGTACCGAAGCACGGCTTTCGCTGCAACTGATCAATAGTCACCAGGGACACATTGCTGTTGACTGTGCCATTAGCCTTCTTCCCTGTCAAGACATACCTGCAACACATATTTAATAGTAACCAGAATTTATCGGGAGAAACGTAAGACATGCGGTCTTAATTTAACACATTACGTACTTTTTATAAATCGCCATGTCCGACTTCTTCGGATCCGTAATTTCCATGCCATATACTTGGTCCATACTCGGGAAAAGCGTTTGAAATTTGACAGCATTATAGGTATTGTTACTATCGTGTGATTGAGTCATTGCTGATTCGTTCGTCAAACTGGTTTCATCTTCACTCGAATCACTGCATTCGCTTGAATCAGTACTAAAGAAAAGAATTTCACTTAAAGATTATTGAATTTATGCGAATACAAACCTTGTGCTTGATGTTGTTGAACTAGTAGAGCTTAATCCAGTTAAACTAGGATTTTTCATATTAACATTTTTGCCTGTTTCCTCCCGTCTACGGCCGGGTCGAACACGAATTGAAAACGGACTGTAATTCGTCGTACAATTGGGCATAAAATCACGAATAGAATTGCAGATTTTATACGCAAACACCTCGTCCAACACACTCAATTGATACGGTCTATGATAATCCAAGTAAGCGTCAATCATTTCCAAATCACGATTCTGTATCTGGATAAGCTCTGAGCATGCTTTTTCAATATCATTTAATGCAAACGGGAGCACCGGTAGAATATCCGTGTCCCACCATTGTGTCAACAAACGCATGTCTGCAAAATTGATTGTCGACTTGAAATGAAAGTAATAATCATTAGGATATTCCCATATTGGAGGTTTGTTCAACTCCGGTACAAACAGTCCAAGGAACAAGTTGATTGTATTTTGTTTTTCGGCATCAGAAAAAGTGTTGCTATAGTAGCGACTCAACGTTTGCATAATATCATTACCCTGCGACGTCCATGGCGCTGTTTTCCGATACGTTTTTATACGATGCACTAATTGTGAGCCGCCATATTGCAATGCCAAAGTATCTCCGTGATCTTCATATAGTGACTCGAGCATGCGAACGCAATCGGTGTCAAATTCAAGATTTGGGCTGTCTAGAACACCAAGCGCACACAATTGGTACCCCAAAACGCATTTGCCAATTGCAAATTGGGCTGTGTTTGTCCGATCAAGACAATCGACGCAATTAGTTCGGATAATGCCAGTTTGGTACGTCATATTTTTCAATGTTTTATGTTTGCCAACAATTGTTGAGGATTTCTGCGCAAAGTACGGTGGAGTGTTTTGGAATAATCCGGTTTTGCTAACACAACTGCGCGCGATCCCAGCTAAACAACCCATTACATTCGCGTTGGTTTTATTTTTGCGTGCCATGTCAAATGGTTTATACTGAATTTGATGCTCAGGTGGTAGAAATTGATTGAGATATTTGATGCTACCACTAAATTCATCACTGAGTAATCGTTCCTGCCTCTTCTTCTCGCGTTGTTTTACAAGATTGAGTACAATTATTGGAGAACCATATCGTTTAAGCAAGTCGTTAAAATGTGCGCCAGCTGTTTCAGCAAACGGATCGTTCAAATCTAACGTGATAGCTGGCTTAGCCACCATTTTACCCATGTCTTGCCGCCAATGGCCTGGAATTGATCCGCGCATTTGCACGAATGATGTAAAATGGCTTTTGCTGAACGACGAGACACCTGAATCATGTGCCATTTGCTCGGTTTCCACTTCGTTCGCAACGTCTCCTTTGAAGTTAGCTCCGCGTTTTAGAAATCTCGTTCCTGCATATTTGCATGACCTACGTGCAATGAGTGTAACGTAAATTGAACGACCAAATACACTTATATTCGATTGTCCAATAAAGCCATGAGTGATGTAAATCAACCAATCAGGATGCAGGTCCTTTTCAACTTTGCTTAATAGATGAGAATTCCACACAAATTTTCGATTTGGTCGGAATCGAACGGCAAAATCTAGTTGAGTATCTTCAGGAAATGAAGTAAGCATTTCATGCCCCATTTGTTTTTCATCCAGTAAATTTGGTATGATCTTTTTTGGACTGCTCATGTTGTGTTGCAGTGTGTGAGTTAAATCATAACTATAACTGTAGCAAACAAATAAGTAAATAAGTAAAAATGCATCTATATTTCAATAATTACTTACCTGAAGTAAAATTACTAGATAAATCAATTGCTTGAAACATCTTCACATATCTTGCCTCATCGGGATGTAAAGACCTTTCAGTGTCATTCGGAATGTAAATCATGGTTGTGTATTCAATTTTATAAATTGTGTGATATCCAATAACAGCAACTCTAGTTCTTTGAGTAACTAAGATAATATAATATCCCTCAAGGAATCTGATGAAACCAACAATCCCAAATGCAGATATCACATTGTTGATATGGTTTTTAGTGGAGATTGAAGTAAGGAAATTGTGTATTTCATTTTTGGTGAATTCAGTTTTATCATCATGAAGAAGTAACTCTCGTGGTTCTTTACGACTTATGCGTAAAACGCGAAAACGTGTCTCTGTGTTGTTGGATCCAACAAGGTAGAAGTCCTATAATTGTTTATGAATAATATTAATGAAGTATAAATATTAATTTCGAGACATACCGATTTTGTTTCATACAATGCTATTCTTTGTATGGAACTAATAATTGGATGAAATGTAATCTCAGACGTGGCCATTATGAATTAAATTTCACAGCTCCTTTATTAAACACTTGCAAATTTATTATTTGCTCGGATTATTCCATAACAACACACATCTTTGTTTTGACTTAAACTTCAAAGTCAGCTGACCTAGCCAAACAAATGTTTTAACCTGACATTACCAAAAGTAAATTTTCAATACGTAATTTTCTTTTATAGGAAGCATTTTAAATTAAATTAATTTGTCTGCAATGGATTAAGTTTTATTTTTTACATATTTTAGCTCACATTTAAAAGTTTAAGCTTATTTTATTTGGAAAAGATTTAATTTTGAATAAGACTGAAATGGATATGGCTTCATAGATCGTTTAACGCTTCTATATAAAATCACTAAAAGTCATTATATATATAAAGATTTATAATAATTCAATGACTTCTGAGGGATAGCAATTTCAGACTTATTTAAATCTCATCATTTCGCACCATTTGTATTTAAAGTAGTAACATAATTTGTAAAAGGAGTTGCCTACCTCCACAGTTGTCAACGTTCACAAGCATAAGTGTTAAAGATATTAAAGTTATTATCAACTTTACTACGACATTAATATTAAACTAAAATAAAAGCAAACTTAAAGAATAGATTTTATTTGAATGCAAAATATAGCATCTTCGATATAATAACGACACCAACAGCAATCACAATTACTTTGCTAATAAACATTAAAAGGTGTCATGATTCTAATTTGTCCTTACTTTCATTTTTTACATAAATAAATTTAAAAGTAAACGTAAAATTGACTGCTAAATGAAGTTGCTATATATTTACATTAAAACTGAAACAAAATTTCAATTCATGAACGATGCAACACATAAAAGAAATATAAAGTTAATCGGTCAAATTTAAATACACAATTAACTTTCATGAATAGCCTGCAAATTGTCAATTCAATATGAAAAATAATATTTGAAAATGATTGTCGGCGTGTGGCTCCGTCCACCCCACATGAAGTATTCCCATTGGCTGAGTAATTGTTATCGAGCGGCGTGCGGGTTTTGGCTGAAGCGCCGCGACGCATCCTCCCACTGGCGGCGCAAGTGCGCGTCGGATTGGCAAACGCCGTGTGCCGCGTGTAAGAACTGGACCGAAAATAGAACGAGCGCAAGATATACACACACGGAGACTCACCGGCGCGGCGCACCAGTGAGCCAGCCGAGACAAACACCGAACAGGGCAGTCAGCCGACCGAACTAGTAGCAGTAGCAGCGGCGGCAGCCGTCCAGCAGGCGCGATCGTCGTACCGATTCCTGTTGGCTTCTTTCTCGTTCGGCAACGCGCGCGCTCTGCACACTGCAGTATTCGCACGATATTCCGGCTGTAAATACGCACAATTTACGCTGCCACCCGCGACTGATCTCAGCCAACAATTCGCACATCAACTATACGCACAACGCGCGATTAAAAATTCTTTCCACTGCAGTCGCGCGAGTGTCTCTCCCTGCTCACCACCCTAAAAGTGTCCAACCCGAACACGCCGAAACTCGTGCGCGCATCATAAATGTATCCGCACTGCACAACTCCCAAGAAGTGTAGATCTTTGCAAACGTCGGCAACTTTGCGACAGACTAATCCAATTCTTCGCTGCTGAATATTAAATGAAAATTTTCCTCGTTGACGGCAAATTTGTCGCAGCCTGCGGCCACTGAGTCTGTTTTTAACTTGTGCTCCGAATTAAGTTTCATTCATCTCCTGTTGACGTTAAGCTCCTGCGAGATGCGACGGAATATCAAAGTTTTGTTGTTCTTCTCAATCGCGTGGATGTTCGTTGTGGTTTACTACTTGCAAACGGACAGTGCTAATGAAAAGGTAAATATTTAATGTTTTTTTATACCGCCTGCAAGTTAATCACTTGTCGTAAACTCATTTTGCACTTTATTGTTGCCTGGTGCTTAGTGTTAATTGCTCAATAGTAATTCGGTAACGACAATCATCTTTATGGGAATAGTATCTTGCAAGAGTTGATTCATAATCTTTACGCAACTTGGTTTTTATTTGCTTTTCGCTGCTAATTATGGCAAATACAAATAAAATAAGTATGTATATCTTTCTAATTTGTATTTACATATGTAAATTATGTGAATATTATTCAGTGTTAATTATTTTAAGGAAAATATAATTAGCGGTTTTTGAAACATATTAGATAAATTACTTCTCCAGACAGTCAAACTGGAGTGGATAGGCGAAAGTGATGATTGATGATGCTTTTTATCTTTAACTTTTTTAAGAACATAATATCTAATTAATACAAGAAAATAACATCGAAAAAATACGTGTTAAAGAATTGTAAAAATAAATAATCATATTGGTTCACGTTCGGAAAAGTTTTTATTTTTAACTTTTTTGAATAAATAAAATACATTACCTCATTAATGTATTCACTAAGTAATTCCAAGGTTCTGAAAATATGAAAATTTGTTTCACTTAATTAGGATGGAAAAAATAATAAACATGTCCTAAAGCTGGTTTAATGACATATTTTCTGTCATAATATTTTTTGATTATATACGAATGAAGTTAAAATTCATTTTTATTTTAGGAACTTTAAAAAAAGACAGTGATTAAAGTACTTTAGTAACGGGTTTTAGTCCCGGGGTGACTAAATGATTGATTAAACGCTCGCTACGGTCGCCTTCAATCAATTTCGCGCCAAAAACTCCGGTTATTTTATTGGTTTTAAAACTCACAATCATTGATCGCGACTTATATGCCTCATAAAAATATTTTAATTTAAATTGAATTATGAGCACATTAAACCAATAATTTCATTCAATATATTCATGTGGGTGGCAATTTCATTAATAATAGACTTAACCAATTTATGAACCCAAGCCATGACTATTAAAAATGCTTCCATAGTGTAAATAATGAAGCTATATCTATACTCAGATAAACAATAGAATTTAAAACGAATAAAGCGAGTTGTTCAAATTAAGATTCTTGTACAAATGAAATCAAAAACAATGAAAGAAAGTCATATAATCTTGTTACGACAATTACAATCGCCTCGGAAAGGATGAGTTTCGCAGGTGTGTTATTAATTAACATCACATTTCTTCTTTCCTTGCTGTCCCAGTTGCCTAAAGAAATTGTACATAAAAAACTATATAACTATATAACAGTTGTTTAGATCTTAATCACGTGAAATTCTTCCGCATATTTGCGCAATCAATACATCATTAGATAAATCAATTATTTTCATTTTATAAATGTGGTTTAGCAACAAGCATCAATGATTTATAGGAGGAGACAGTAGAAATATGTTCTTTTAATTATGAATGCATATTTATTTTGTTTTCCCATCGTTAATCGTGTAAACTGCTTGTGTCATGAGCGGGGAAACTACAAACTTGTTCACATAGCACGATTTAACTATGCACAAAAGAAACAAAAAGTTTATAGCATTTTGTTGGTGTATCTTACTACGCTAACAGTTTCTTCGGCTTTATACTAAATTTACGAGGATTATGTGTATTTCTATAGTTAGTTAATTATCGCAAAAGTAAATATCTTAATTGCGTTTTAATTTATGATCAATTTGATAAATTATTGCCAAAGTGAAATCGATATAAAACATATAATTTTTTAATTCAATCGTATAGCTATGTAGCGTTTCAATTTCAATTTTAAGGGCAGTATTTTAGTATATTGGAAATATTTTACAACATTGCAAATATTAAAATACTGTTAAAAATGTTAAAATAGTTTAAAGCAAATCATTTTTTAAAATTTATTCAACCAAACAAAATATTTCAATCTTAAATAATTTTTTTCTTTAAAAAGCGTTAGTTAAACACTTAATATAAATGTTAATAATTAAATTTATTTATTTATTCTGTTAGTTTTTATATTAATTTCGATTAATACGCCAATTGCAAAATTACTAAAAGTAAATAAGTCTCATTTTACACGTACACTATTTTTTGTACTTAAAGTTTAAATTCTTCACATTTAGAATGTACGCGTGTAGTAAAAGTGTACAACATTGCGAGTTTGTATATAAAGATGTACAAATAAGTACCATGCAGCAATGTACCTGGTCACGTGTAATTTCATCATTCCAGTAGTAAGTACCGCAATCTTAGCCGTCTCGACCAGATGCAAGAACACACATCGACGACCGGCCGCCGCATTGCTCTATGTAGATTAATTAGAAAAGTGAAAGCTAATAGAAAAATGATAGCAATCGAGTGAGAGCTAAACGGCGCGGCTCTTGCGCGTATAATGCACGCATATCTCGCAGTTCAGGTCTACTCTTCGGTCTCGATTAGAATCTATAAACACAAATTTATGGCGCACTGCACAGACGCAGGGCATTGAACGGCCGAAAGTGAACAGTTTCTTATGTTTACATGCAAACGTCCGTCGATCGGAACTGAACGCTCGCAATGTGCGTTGGATACGAAACGAACAGTTAAGAGCCTCTTGCAGCTCAAGTACTAATGAGTTTATTACACGTGTTCCATCGGCATGAAGTCAGACGCTCATTATAATACTATTTTTGATCTTACACGAGCGCGTTTATAATGCCGGCGGAACTTCCGTTGCATAACAAAGTGTACGCTGCTGGAAAATACGTTATTTATTAGGGGAGTTGTGACTGATGGAAGATGGAAGCTGTTTGTGCATTCATTTAATATGTATTTATTTTATACAAAGCAAAAAAAAAAACATTTTACTGCTTGGGTGTTGAAATATGAGTAAAAGTAAGATGATGCCTTGCCTGCTGTGGAGGTGCCGAACCCTCTACCATTAACTCTCTTACAAAAGAATGATACAAAGAAAGAAAGTCTAGAAGTTAAGTGAACTAAATTGGAGATTGATTCAATATCAATTGTAACATTCCATTCCCAAATTAAAATACTCGTAGGTGCTGACTGGATGAAATTTATAAAAATCGTGTTAAAGATTCGCCGAATTTTTGTATTAATAAATTGATATTAAAAATTGTTGTCCAAGCAACATTCGGAATAAGTATGATAAATGACTGTCTGGATATTTTCTATATAATTTCTAAAAAATAACCTTGACAATGATAGATTCCTCATTGAAAGTTAACTGCAGTTAGTTTACTCGTAACCACATTTCTGTCTATCGAATATATATTACGTGTCAAGGCCGGGACAAACTGAGTAGGTGTTAAGTGGCGCAAAAAAAGTTATCTTCCAGTTCTATCACTGCACGCTAATATTTTCCTGCTTTGATTTTCATATCGCACATACTGTTCTAATGCTATCTAACACCACGCAATATGCACTATTTGTTCATATATCTAGTTAATTAATAATTAGTTAATTAAACATGTTTTAATTGCTATGCATTGATTCCTTTGTTGTTTTGCAATTCTCTTTTCATCGGTTTCATAAAGCATCACAAAGTAAAGTTAAACACGTTGATATTTATCAATTTTCCGATTTTTATTCGATTTCGGGAACAATTGTATTTTTTATTACCATGTCGATATAAAAGCCATACTCGTAAAAGAATACAACTTTAATGCATCGCTGATATAAAATTTTTGTTTCTGTATGTGGCGTTAATCGTTCGATAAAGATTTGCGAATTGAATCAATCAACTACATATAATCGTATATAGAATGTGGCCAAAGTACAGCGCCTACAAGCGCAAGATTATCGACACATTATTCTGAAACAATGAAATGGAAAAGCAACTAAGCAAAGTATCACAATTTCGATAACGCAATGTTCATCAGATTGATGGGCCAAATTAAGTGCGTTGCAACTTGTAGCACGAATAAAATAAAATATATACAATTTTATATGTTGAATTTATTTTTATCAAGTTTATATGTTAAGGTTTTTTATGGTTATTCCATAGATCTTTCACCTATTACAAATTACATTTGCTAGTAGCTCGATTACACATCAGTCATCTGAAACCAGTATACTTTCGCCAAGTCCAAAACAAAATCGCGCATTCCGATGGTACCGGAGCTATTCGAGAGCATGACATGGAATTCTAAAAACTTGTTTTAGATTTTTATACCTTTGGTGTGCGTAAATCATGCTATTATTCAAAATTACTGATAAAATTTTATTTTTGTTCCAAAAACTTTAATTAAAAAATGTGAACTAAATATCTAAGTACCACATTCATACTCGAATAATGAAAGTTTACTTTATGAAGAAATTAAATGCTTCTATGTTTTTACCATCACGACACGTAAATCCTGGTTATTATTGCATTTCTTAATTAAGTTGAATTTTTTTGTAACTCGACAATTAACTATAAAAGTGTGCCGTTGGCTGACAGGCTGACATGCGACTTCTTTAAATTCCCGCTGGTCTTCGCTGAAGCGGTAATAACCAACAGCTATCGACGCCCTCAATAAATCACAATTGCAAATTACAATTCATTTACTACGCAAATAATACAATAAACGCACGACCGTAACACCATGAACTAGACGCGCGATGTAATGCCTTTAATCTACAAGCTTTTTGTTGCTCTTCGATGGTATAATAAACGCATAAACTGAATATGAAGTCACTGGTTGGAAATTATACAGTAGCGTAATAATTCTTGCGTTATACTATAGTGGAATAGGCAAGCAACGAAACAAGAACGATGTTAGTTTGAATTTGCACGCCGCACATGAAATGATAGTGGATTATAATTACTTTTGACGGAAAATTGTATGCTCCATATACTTTGGTCTAAATGAGGATGTCACGTTAATTTTTAATTGCAACTTTCAGCGAGTTTATTTTATTTGGCATTGAGTATGTGCATTCATATTCAAGTCATGGTTGTGGAGCATAAGTTGAATTTTTCAGTTGGCTTTTACT